GGCATTGTTTTGTTCTGCTGTGCATGGGGTCACTTTGAGTCGGTTCCGACTTGATGGCACCTGACAACAACTGACAACATTGCTATTTTACCAGTTACAGAGGACCATTACTGAAGAATCAAATGTCTATCCCAAACTATGCTTTTTAAGAAAAGCATTTTATCTTCTAATAGTTTATAGTTGAAGTAAGGAGATTATGAAGCTATTGTAAGGTTAATTGAATGTGAATATAGATGAATACTAGTAGTCTAAAGTATGCCTTGAAATGTTAATATTTAAACTAAAAGTGTTAAAAATTAGGTCAAAATCCTTGTAAAATATGACCCAGATGCTCTGCTTCATCTTGAAAAGGGATTCAGAAGAATCTTAAGACTCAGTGTGGAGAAAACTTATGATGCTCAAATTCTAGAACATGGAAGAAGAGTGTGATGCATCTGTATGGATAAATTATATGCTATTCAGATATTTTTTTCATGTACAGTTAGTGTTTGACTTGAGGGAAGCCAGGAAATAAATTAATGTATACCTTAGAATCTAAGTCTTTGGTAGTAGGTTTGTTGGAAGAATAAGCGAAATGATTCAAGCAGGGTATCCAATTAAAGCTCTGACACAATTTAGGAGTTCAATAAATGATGAATTGTCAGTTTAACTTGCTATGTAATTTTTAGTCAGTATTGGTATGGACAAGTATTCTTTAAAAGTATTTCTTCTTTTAAACATATTTGAATGATATATAGAAAAGGTTATTATTATTGTGTTTTAAGGGTATAATCTGTTTTTGTAAGCTAGGGATATATATTTCAGAAAGTTTCTGAACTTCTAAGATCAATTTAAATAAGTATTAAGTTGATTAAAATAATTTTTTATTCTTGAGTTTTTAAGCGCTCTCTTACTTAGAAAATAATGGCTTTCCTATACAACTACTATTTTTGTAATTTTTATAAAGTTTTTACTAGCGTTTTTATCAACCTTATAACTTAATATTTTACAATTTAATCCCAGTCTAAATGGCTTATACTAGACTCTGAATAACTTGATACTATCTAGCCATATGGTTTTACTTTAGAATTGATGGTGTTAAGAGGAGTATGTATATGTTGTATTGAATTTTCTCTAGTTAAAATTAACAGTTAAGGGAGAGACATGAATTTATGTTTTCTTAAATTAACAAGTTTTAATATTTCAGAGATAGAATAGTTTTAAAAGCAGGAGACCATCACTTTTGACTTAGATAAATACATTATTTGCACTTAAACATTCATTGCTTTTACTCAACTGTTAAGTACTTTAGTAAGCAATAATGCCTCAAGTAACAAGATGATTTGTGTGGATTGGAGTTTTATAGCCATTATTTTTTGTTGTTTTTTTAAATCTGAAAAACTTTTTATTATGAATTAGGTTAATAATGGATCATCAATCAGCTTTACATTCAACAGTTGGTATACATTTTGTTACATCTCATTGATTACAATCCTTACAACATAACATCTCACTTACAACATAATATGTCACTTACAACATAATATCTCACTTCCTGGTGTGGAGCTGCAAGGTTGGCACTTCAAACTCACCAGCTGCTCTTTGGGAACCCTATTCAGGATCACTATGAGTTGGAACCAAGTCTATGGCATTTCACAACAACAATCCCACTTCCTTCTTGTGTTTCCTGTTTCCATTCTTCCATCTTTTCTAACCTTTCTGAACTTAGCCATTGGGTAAATACTGCCCTTTTGATCTCAAATGGTTGATTATTTTAAGGTATGCATACCTGACTAGTGTTGCTCCCCTTCCAAGCTTATCTATTGTTTGGCTGAAAATTGAGCCATGGGGGTAAGTTTAGTTCCAGACCTGACGGGGTGAGTAAGGGTTGTTGTCTCTGGTAAACCTGGTCTTTTTTTATGATTTTGAATTTTGTTCCATATTCCACCCCCCCACCCCCCACCCCCACCCCCCCACTCTATCCAGGACCACCTAATGTGAT